AAATGGAGTTGTTGAACGCAAAAATCGTACATTAAAAGAAATGATGAATGCTATGTTGATAAGTTCTGGGGTAGTCAAGAATTTGTGGGGAGAAGCATTGCTTTTTGCAAACTACATTCTCAATAAATTACTTCACAAGAAGTTAGTTAAGACACCTAATGAATTATGGAAAGACATAAAGCCTTCTTATAAATTTCTCAAAGTTTGGGGGTGTCTAGCTAAGGCAACAGTCCCTGATCCTAAGAAGATTAAAATAGATCCTAAAACCATTGTGTTTTCATTGGTTATGCCATAAATAGTAGTGCATATCGATTTCTTGTACATAAATGGATAATCCTGAAGTATATGTTAATACAATAATTGAATCAAGGAATGCCACATTCTTTGAAAATGTATTTCCATGGAAAATTGCACAAGAACAAAGTTCTTTGAAAAGAACTTATGATGACTTTAATAGCAGTCATAAAGAAAGTAATGATTATTCTGTAGACCGAGAACATGCACAAGAAATTGAACCAAGACATAGTAAGAGGGCTAAGATATAAACGTCTTTTAGACCTGATTTTCTTACTTATTAGAAAATGAGCCTCAAACGTATAAAGAAGCTATATCCTCTCTAGAAGCTCCAGTTTGGAAATAGGCTATTAATGCTGAATTAGAATCCATCATGCAAAATCATACATGGGAATTGGTGGATCTTCCTCCTGGAAATAAACCTTTAGGTTATAAATGGATTTGCAAAAGGAAGATGAGAGTAGATGGATCTATTGACAAGTACAAGCAAGACTTGTCACCAAAGTTTATAAGCAAAGAGAAGGCTTAGACTATTTTGATATATATTCGCCAGTCACGAGGATAACATCCATCCATATGTTGATTGCTATTGCAGCAATTCATAATCTTAAGATTCATCAAATGGATGTCAAGACTGCTTTTCTAAATGGTGATTTGGACGAGGAAATTTATATGGAACAACCTGAAGGTTTCATAGTGCATGGTCAAGAGAGAAAGGTATGTAGACTTGTTAAATCACTTTATGGTTTAAAACAAGCACCTAAGCAATGACACCATATGTTTGACATTGCAATGTTGTCAAATGGATTTAAAATAAATGAGTGTGACAAATTTGTTTACACTAAATGCACACAAGAGGGATATGTCATTGTGTGTCTATATGTCGATGATATGTTAATTATTGGTAGTAATCATGAGATTATTAAATCTACCAAAAAAATGTTGGCTAGTAAGTTTGATATGAAAGATATGGGAGTTGCAGATGTTATACTAGGAATTAAGATTTCTAGAATGTCTAAAGGACTAATTTTATCTCAATCCCATTATATTGAGAAAGTACTTACAAAATTTAATAATTATGTAAGTAGTCCTACAAAAACACCTTATGATGTCAATTTGCATTTTTTCAAAGAATATTGGTCAATGTATATGTCAAAGTGAATATGCACAAATAATTGGTAGTCTAATGTACATTACAAATTGTACACATCCCGACATTGCATATTCAGTTAACAGGTTCAGTAGATATACGAGTAATCCTGGAAAGGATCATTGGAAGCAATTGCAAGGGTTCTTGGTTATTTGAAATTTACGCAGAACTATGGATTGCACTTCATAAGATATCCAGTAGTACTTGAAGGCTATTGTGATGCTAATTGGATATCTGATACACAAGACTCGAACTCCATGAGTGGATATGTTTTTACTCTGGGAGGCGGAGCCATTTCATCGAAATCCTTTAAACAAACGTTTATAGCTAGATCCACTATGGAATCTAAGTTCATTGCTTTAGACAAAGCAGGGGAAGAAGCTGAATGGCTTCGTAATTTCTTTGAGGATATTCCCAATTGGCTGAAGCCGGTGCCCGCCATATGTATACATTGTGATAGCCACAAAATCATATGTATAACGATAAGTCCCCACACATACGTCGTAGACATAATATTGTTAGGAAACTTCTCTTAAGTGGTATAATTACAATTGATTACATAAGGTCAAAAGAAAATATAGCGGATCCGTTTACTAAAGGTTTGACTAGAGAGCAAGTTTATAAATCATCGAGGGGAATGGGTTTAAAGCCTATGTCTTAAGAATCGCCATAATGGCAACCCAACCTAGCTGACTGGAGATCTCAAGATCTAGGTTCAAAGGGACAACCAAATTGTGGATGATTTAGTGGGAGCATTGAGAAGATAATCTCCTACCCATGTCTTATGATGAAACAGTGCTATCTGCAGCGTGTTTAGGATAAGCTTTACTTTTAATGATTCCTATACTTGGAAATAACAAGTGGGGTATTATGCAGGATACTCTTAATGGGATATCACCTACATGAGTGTGAAAAGTGGCAGTTTCTATGAGAATTATAAGGCTGAATTCTCTAAAGCACTCAAGATTACCGGAAATTGTTCATGGCCAAAATGAACACAACCGTAGAACCATATGTGTTCGGAGGAATACCGATTGAATATTATTGTCTTGGTTTACATCAATAGCTGAGCAATTTAAGGCATCGCGTTCACTGATTAGGCAGTAAATCTGATAATATTTCAGTAAGGAAGGTTCAAAGCCAAAAGCTACCTCTCCCCATATGATATATGTCCAATTAAACTCTCTCTGAGTGTTTGCATCTTCATTTGCATTAAATTTTATTAATTTTCATTCAAGTGGGGATTGTTAGAAATTTAATAATTTAAATATTAGAATTATTAATATTTAAATATTAAATATTCAAGTGAATGGAAATTAAAATAGAAAAAATGGGCTAGTCTTGAATTGGCTATGTATTAGCAATTTGCAATACTTCTTGAATAGGTTTGACCGGTTCTTGTTTGAATTCAAACAAGAATGTCAAAAGACACATGGTTAAAAAGGCACTGATGCTTGTGGGTGCTAATACCAACTATTAGACACCTCATTTTCTTCGAATCACTTGGAAACCGAAATGGTTTCCTCCAGCTTTTCCACAAGGTTGGGATATGACTGTTGAACAAAGATTGCAACCTTTGTCTTTTGGAAGTAGACGCAATCTTTGAAAATGGGGCATGTCAAGGCCTATAAATAGACCACCAAGTCAAGCATTTTAGATATAGTTTTGCATCCAGAAATCATATAGAAATTAGAGCAGTTTAGTGTTCAAGAAAGAGAGAGTTTTAAACACTTTTGGTTTGCTGTTCTTTGTGGATTGAAGTGTTACTTCCGCAAAGAGAAATATCGTTGTATCTTGGGAGATATTTGCCAACGCAAACCTTGAGGCACCACTGAGGGGCAATCTTGTCTTAAGGCTATAGAATCCAATTCTAGTCTCGATCTCTTAAGGTTCTTCTATTCCTTGTTCATTTGTAGAGATTTTATTGTGTATGCATTGTTTAATAGTTTATAATAAATTATACAATAATTTTTCAAAGTTGTTTCCAACAATAAGAGATATTCAACCTAAGAAATTATAGGTAAGAATTTTCCCAAGGTATGATTAATATTACATGCCAAAAATGGAGATGAACAATGTGGATCCAATTAAGCAGAATAAAGCTATTTTGAGAACAGTACACCTCGTGCTATAGTAGTTCATTAGAGCACTTCCAGTGTGTAAAGGCTTCCTCTTGGTAATAGGCAATTCAATCCTCTCAAGTGAATAGTAACTGCCTTTAATGAACAGTAATTGCCTTTTGCATATTCACCCCTAAACTCAATAGCCATGGCAATAGGCAATAAAAAATTAGTATTTTTTATTTTCTAAAATAATAAAAATAAATTTATTTTTAATTGCGGATAGGATAAATGATCTTGTCACGTCACGTGTCATTATCTGAAATGAAAGTACAATTTTTGTGGATAGATTTCGATAAGATTTTCGAGCGACGTGTCATTCCATGTTTAGAATCGTTGAAAATATTGAAATGTAGTGTAAGGCGGTTGAAAATGGTTAGATATTTATTGAAAAAAAATTAAATCTTTTTAAAAAAAAATTGATTTTTTTTATTTTTTAATTATTTTTAAATTTTGTATTAACTTGATTAATATGAACCGTTGATTACAAAAAAAAATTGAAATCCAACAGTTTAGATTGTGACACATGGCCCACCGTAACATTTATGGTTTTTCTTATTTTTCTTCTTTTTTTTTATAATTTTTAAAGCGAAAAAACATGGACCGTTGATCTGGAAATCAAACGGTCCCGATTCAACAGCTACTTAGTGGACTGCTACGCGGGCCCCACCGCTTGAAATCTTGTCGGTAAAGAGTCCCCACACGTGCATGTTATGCATGCACTTGATTCAAAAGAATTTATAACGTGGCAGACGTGCATCACTCCCCCTCAGCCGCTTGGGCCTTGGACTTGTGCCTGAGTTCTCCCACGGGCTCTCCCTCAGCCCAATTGCCATAATGGGCTCCCACCACTTTGGCAGGGGATTGGATTGCAAAGGAGCCGGTCCATAGGGCAAAAGAGCACACTGGAAGTGCTCTCAAATGAAAAGTGTTTGATTTCATAAGAAACTAAGGGTGCGTTTGTTGCACCGGACTGTCTCGGACTGGACTAGCTGCAAGGACTAAGCTGGACTGGCTTAGACTAGACTAAGCTGGACTAGCTTAGTGAAGCGTTTGGTGCAGTGTCGGACTAAGAAGCAGGATAATGAAAACAATATTGTTCACCAGTTTGGTGTTTGCTCAGACTAGAACTACATTATTGTTCTATTTTAATTGTTTTTTTATTACAGATATTATTAAAATTAATAATATAGGATGAGAGTGAGACTCAATAAAAATACAAAAACCAAATTTTCTTGCCAATGAAAGAAACATACATGATTCAAAAGTAGCATTGTTCCAAATTTTCTTGTGTGTTGATAATTATATGTCAAAATATGAGCAAGGCTCATACCTTACGTATTCATTCATGATAAATAAGCATGCATTCGTTTCCACTAAAAGTCAAGTATTTTACATGAAAGATAAAAAAATGGACAGAATTCTCAGGCGTGCAATCCAAAAGGCGAATATGGTTTAATTCTAATAGACCCCATCAATTTTACATCTTAGGCAGAGCACTTAAGCATAAGACAACGCCGCATATATTACACACATAGTATGCAACTGGTAGTAATACCTCATACCTATATAAAATGTCTTACATATCACACACTAAATGTGGTATAAACTTTCCATACTATGTCAGATGGAAGATTCTTTCGTATGTACTCATCTGCATCTTCTTCCCACACTACGATATCCTACTTGAAAAATTGCCAGAAAAACAGGAGTTAGTTCAACTTATAACTTCAGGTTTCAAAATATATATGTTTCCCATTTTTTTCTGATAATGAAATTTACCTTTTCATTCATTACCAATGCTTGAAAGATTGCAGAGTCCAACAGAGATGAAAAATGTGGAGAAACTATTCTCCATCCCTGATTTACGATTAAAGAAGAAAAAAAAAACCAATTAAGAGGAGTGGATTGAACAAGTAACAAATTGTGATCCAGCAACATCCAAAGTTCCACTTCCTAACGAATGAAGTTGGCAGAATTTTGGTGATCTTTATTCAGTAAAACTTACTAATCAGAAAACTTACAGGCCCTGTTTCAACAGAGATGAAATCACATCAAAAGCTAATGAAAGAATCCTCTCCGATAAAAAATCAAGCCTCTGCATGTATAATATTACTTTTCAGTTATAAAATGACAACAAAAAGAGCAAATGACCAGATTCAGGGAATTAAAGTTTAAATTCTATGTTTAGAATCACAAACAAGCAATTTGAACATCAACATAAAATAATAAACTATGTACAATAAGAAAAATAAAAGTCCGAATGCCGGAATAAGAACGCAAGTCAAAACTTGGATTCAAGATGCAGAGTTAGCAGTCAGACAATTTGGAAAACACACGCATCATCACTCTAAAAATGTTGACTGTAAAATTATGAACAAGTAAGAAACTTTAATACAGAACTTTCAACTTGAACAAGGTTCGAAAAGTTGACTGCTGCGTTTTGAATCAACATATACTGAATTTTTAGTGGTTTATTTGGTCCAATCCAATATGCCATCAAATTAAACAAGGCCTTAATGTGCTAAAGAAAGGGTTAACTTTTCTAAAAGTCCCTTGTTTGTACTCTGCTTGTACGTTAAACATGCAGGCCAAGAGGACAACATAATGAAGCAGATGGAGAGAGAGGCTAAGCAGCTGACATTTGGGAAAGAGATGGAACAGATATTGAGCAATCAGAAGCAGTCTTATTTCGTGCCACTGCCAACCCAGAAGAGAGAATAAGGAAGAAACCACTCCTCACCTGACTGGCTTCAATTTAAGACTAAGCAGTGATTGTCAACCAAATAAGGTTGGATAGTGTTCCATATGAAGTCTAGTGTCACAAATAGTTCCCATCAATGGTACATATTACATATTTACTTTCTATCAGTTACTTTCAAGCATGAAAGATAACTACAGGGCTCAGTGGAGAAGCCTGAAAGAAGGCCAAGAGGATTGATCTGCAAGTAGCAGTAATCATGACAAGTAATCATGGCACCTAGCAAGCTATCTTCCCCACACTCCAATTCGACTTGGACAGCCAAACAAAACAGATTGTTTGAATACGCTCTGGCAACATATGATAGGGAAACCCCTGATTGTTGGCGTAATATAGCCAGGATCGTTTGTGTATACATTTGTGTTTGCAATAACTCAACAATGTTTTGTAACTTATAATCCAAATCAACAATTGACTGGTTAAGAAATTAAAATCTAAAACCTACAGACCCTAGAAAAACCAGAATCAAAAGATATACAAACTTAAAAAAGCATGTATCAACCATCAATCGAAGCCCAGAGCAACGGCAAGCTATGATTGAAAATTCTAATCTCAATTTGACCCTAAAAATCAAAACCCTAATTTGTTCAAGTGCAGAGGTTTATAATTGAAAATTTATCAAACCCAAAACACCTAAATCAAATAAAGCCCAGTAATATCACGATCTGCAAAAAAAAATTGAAGAAATAATGTCGGATTTGAAGTTTACCAGATGAGGGCGAGCAGGATGCAGAGATGAGGATGAGGAGGACGACGATGAGGGAGCAGGGCAAGGAGGGAGCACGGCGAGGATCGAGGTTGAGCGAGGTTCTCTCTCGCAGGAGCGCAGGAGCGCAGGAGCGCAGAGGTCTTACGAGTCCGGGGGTGATCGGGGTGCTTCGCTTAGAACTCCTAGTGAGGGGTTTAATCCTAGCGAGTCAGACCTAATCCCATTAAACCTAATCCTGGTACAGACCAAACAAGGGACTACAGTCCAGTCCAGTCCAGTCCTCCCTAATCCGGTCAAACAAACGGGCCCTAAGTATACAAAATTGCAGAACAATTCATACAACGTTTGTAGCATCACAAACAGATTGCCAAACTCACTTATTAATAATATTACTCGGTAACAATGTAATTAGAAAAAAGTCATGATACTAATCGGATATTAACCAACGACTAATGTTGATATTAATCGTTAGATTCCCATGTCTTTGTTCAAATTAAACGCTTTTAGTTGATGTATCCCCAGGTGGGGCCAGGGCTAGAAGCAGCATTCTCTGTCTGGTCGCTGTATCCCCAGGTGGGACTAGGGCTAGGAGCAAAGGATGATGGAAACACAGTTATAGCAAGCTTCTGGCCAGCATCTAAACAGTGCTGAGAAACACCACAAACGTACCATTTTCTTCCTGGGGTTGCAAGGTTGATCACATCCCTTCCACTTGTTAATGGCACAGAGTCTAAGCATTCCTGAAAGCCTGTGCCGTTCACTTTGAACACATTGTGGGCGCCTTATGGATAGTTAAAACTGCTTAAGATCAAAGATAAAAAGCTCTTCGATGAGTTCCCAAACCACTATTTATAATAATAAAATTAAACAAATATACATGGACCTAAATCTCCACAACTGAAATTATATGGACTAAAGTTGAACTTCGCTCATCCAAAATACAAGGACCATAATAATTTGGCCTAAATTTAATGTATGATATAACCTAGAGAGAAGCTAGTGTTTTTAGAATTTACCAAGATTGTCACCAACATAGAACATCTTTCCCCGAGCCCAAGCTTGGTAATCAAAATTAATCGTCCACCCTTTGTCGTTGCCAACAACATAATCTGTTGCTAAAATTGAAGATGCAAAAATTGCTATAATGGCTAGGATTAGGAAGAGCTGGGAAGTGGCCATCACAATTAGCTAGTATTGAGCTACTTTTAGGTTCACTCTCTTAAGTTGGTTGTTGTTTAGATGATGAGCTCGATCGATTTGATTGCCAACATGAGTTGAAAAGTTTGCAAATTTATAAGGTTGTAATGGACATGAGTACTCTAGTCTAGCATTGGGTTTGTCCACGGACGGCATTGCCATGCCGAACGGTACGAAAAGATTTGAGAGTTAAATACAACATAATAAACAAATTATACTCTCTAGCACATCAATCTTGTTTTGGTTGGATCTATTTAAAAAATGGTTGCTTTGTGTAGCCTGAAGTTATATGTGGCGTGCCCTACGAATTGGTTTTCCTGCACTATTATGGATGCCTAGTGAAAAGAAATATCGTAAAAAAGTTTTAGGTCAATTGGTTAATAATATTTATCAATATACCATTTTTTAACAAATGATATTATCTACATTAAAAGGGTGAGAGAATGAACTAAGCTTGCAAGCAATAATATGGCTTTGGCGAGAATATCAATGCTTACATTTTGCTAAGAGTGTTATTAATTGTCCAAATTCTCATGTTTGGTTTCGTTTAACAAATTCTCATTTTTTTTACAAGACTATCATAAATTATTCTAATATATGAAGAAGGAGATTTGAACTTGCGTGAAGCATTATCCATTTGCATTATATGATTGTATTGTAAAATTTATCATCGTGGTATATAGACATGACAATTTCTTGCATGATCTGTTAACCCGAACCAAAATGACACGAAGCTAACAGGTTTTGGCTATTGTAATAGCAGGCACACCTTAGTTTTTGTAGGGTTCATGGAAAGTTTATCCCACGAAAAACCCCACCTTGTTTGTTGGATAGGGGTGGGCATTTAAACTGGTACACCGAACTAGAATAAACTAATAAAACCAAAAAAACTCAGTGTTGGCCTGACCCGAATGGGGATTGTTGATTTTGACCTAAACTAATTCGATTCTTGGATTTGTCACATGATGTTTTATATACATCTAATACTTGAAAGAAGTTGAGGCTTCACTATAAAACTAATTGGTAATAGGAAGATATCCCAACTTACTTGTAAGCTCTTGTAAGATTCCTTCTCCCAAGAATGTGAGATTCATTTTCAACAATGCCCAAGTAGCCCTCCTCATTTCTTTTCCTCCCTCATCTCCCTTGTGGTCTCGTATTCTCTCATCTCCATTGCAACCTCAACCTTCATCATATCTCTCATGATCTCCCAACCTCATGCACCTTCAAAACCATCATCCACTATATTATTGGTGTTCTTCTTTAGATTCATAGGAAAACTAATGAAAATGGCTTGAAAACTTTGAGTTTTAATGATAAGGACAAAATAAAGGGTAAAGTGAATAGTACTTTTTAGTGTAAAAATGTGGTTTTTCGTTAAAGTGAACAGTACCGGGTACTTTTCGTTAAAGTTCCCTAGATTCATTGATAGATTTATGCAGGAAGTTGATTACTACGTTTGGAGTTTAAGTGAGGATGGAAGGAGTCCAACAAAAAGAGTAAAATGGGTTTAATTATGTTTTTATCATACATCACCAATCTCAAAACTACCAAGCACCGGTCGACGTCATATCTTCAAGGACCCACTAAAGAATTCGTGTTAAGGCACCCCTGTCGAAGCCCAAGAGCTTCGCTCCAACCAGGAGGCCAATCATAATGTAGCACGTGTCAGCATTAGAATAAAGCTCCTAGAGTTCCACATCGACCGAAGATGAAAGCTTGCGACTTTCATCAACTATAAAAAGAGATCATTCTCCTACAATTAATCTTCAATGTCATTATTGTACTTAAACTCGTTAATAAAACTCACTAATTAATGATGATTGTGCTTGAACCTATGTATTGTATAAACTTTTCACTATTAAATAGAACTCCTTTACCCCCATGGACATAGCCCAACTTAAGCTGAACCACTGATATCCTGTATTTGCTCTATCTCTATCTCTTTACATATTATCCTCACTAGATGACTGGAGCAACCTTGCGAAGGTCACAAACTTGACACTTTATGTTATTCCAAAGTCTCATTGATTTTGGTATCAACACACTACTACGATTAATAGTTTGCGCAACGAAGCACAGTTTGTCGCTCAAAGACAAAAAAGGTCGCCTGAGAATTAGCATGACAAAACCTTCGGCGCAGCTTTCGTCGCGCAAAGGTCGTGAGAGAATGGTTTGCATGACGACTATGTAAACTCTTCGCACAAAATGTCTTTGCGCGATGACAATAACATGCATCGCGCGAAACCTTTTGCGCAACGTAGCTTACTCTCATTGTCGCACGAACATAGGTGCGCGACGTAGCTTATGCCGTCTTTGCACAAAGGTATTGTTATTTGTTTTATTTTTCACAATATATTTTTTTATATAATTTTTATAAATATTTTAATTAAATTATAAACAATAATTAATAAACTAAGAAAAAATATTTAATTATAAAATATATGAAAATGAACGTACAAGCTGTCCGAATAGAAAAAAAACTACAACAAATAGTCGTTCGAGTTTGATGCATCAAGATACTGGGTATCAGCTAGGTGAAACGTCTGGGATGTTGAAGGTGGAGCAGGATCAGGTTCTGGCATCGAGATTTGGAGGCCGGACAACTTGAAGGCCTGTAAGATCATGATCATCTTCTCATCCTAGGCCGCATTATGGGCTTTTAGGGTTGCCATTTCCTCTATCAGGGCGATGACCTGTCCCGTGGTCAGTTTGGAAGAGGAGGTACCCGTCTTACGAACCCACACTTTTCCCATCCCTCGAACAACTTTGCCATGACGATGACCGAACGTTTGATCCAGGGTCTCAGTCAGGATATGAAGACTCGCGTCCTTGGGTACAATGACGTCCTCGATTGGGGTATTCGAGGGAAGTTGCGATGCCGCTTGTTGAAGAGACTATTTCCACCACAATAGCCTGTAATAATAAGAAAAAAATATTAATATTTAATAAAAAAATGTAATTAATATTTGAACGATTCATAAATATAAGAATAATAACAATTATATATACTTACATAGAGATGCTCGGTGGTCTCATCGTTGGGCCAAACATAAACGTCATTGAACATGTCAAGCTCTGGGAACTTAGAACTCTCCTGAAGAAAAAAAAATTAAGAAAATGTTATTAATCATAATAATTTTTTTTATAAAATTTAAAATCAATATACTTTACCTAACGTCGTGTAACGACCCGTCCCCAATTATTATGATTTTTTTAATTTAAAAAGTGAATTTACGAAGATGTCCTTCGAGACAAAGTGTTGACTTTTGTTGACTGCCGTGTCATGTCACGTAAGTTTCATTTTCTTGGCTTATCCTCATAGTACTCATCGCTACGGAAGCGTGGGCGTAAACGGATCGTGATTTGGAGTTATAACGAATGAGATATTAATGAATGAAGTCAAGGGCAAAATTGTAAATTTATTTATTTCTAGAATGCTCCAAATTTTTGGAGCTTAATCTGGACAACCACTTGTGTGGCCTAAATTTGCAGAAAGAAAAGTTGGGCGGTAAAGCTGAAATATAAGGGAGAGAAATGAGGGGGAACTGGACCAATGAGAAAGAACAGAAGAGAAATAACCAATAGAAAAGGAGAGCAAGGAGGGGAAAAGGAGAGAAAGGGGATGCACCGGATCACCCTTGACCCGGTTGTACCCAGCCAACCCGTGCAACTCGGTTTCAACTTAGGGCAAATTCTGGCGACTTTCACCCATTTTTTCGACAAATTGGGGTAACTCGCCACCACCAAACATCACGCTATTGCTTCCTCTTCCATTTCCAATCAAATTTCACTAGGTTTAGCCTAGATTTTGTGAAAAACGGAACTTGTGGGTTCCAGAGGTGCCATGATGGAAATCCAACGATTGTGAAGCAAACTTCGTCAACAACCACCACCAATGGACTCCTCTCAATCCCAGGAACAAAGCCCAAGCAATATTTAAGGTGTTGGACTGAGTTTGGAGGTTGAATCAAAACACACCCAAACTTAAGGTCCGACAGGTTTTCATGAAATTGAGGCTTTTTCCGGCTAAATTGGCCTTAGTAACAGGTATGAAAGTTGCTCTATTTATTGAGATCTTCATTTCTGTGAAGTTTGAATTTTTTTAGAAATAGTTGTGCGCGTGGGCCGAGACGTCCCCTGACCTTTCTAGGCTAAATTTGAATACCCTGATTCCATTGGTGAAGTCCGATTGACGAATTTTCATCATTTGAACGTAGTTCCATTAAGGTTCGCAGCTTGATTATTATAGCAATCAACAATCCGACCGTTGGATCGTCACTAAACTTTGACACGTTATAATACGTAATATTTGAGGATATTAGAAACTTACGGATCGAGAATCCGACTTATGGATCTTCCCAAATAGGATATGTAAGTTATATGTTCTATTGATAAGATTTCTAAGACATGATTTGATAATTGTTCTAGTCGCCGATCATTTGTGACACCTTCATATTTGTGCTAGGGAGTTGTAGCGCGAACTCCAGGTGAGTGGGCTTTTGGTTTTCTATATATATACGTATATATGTTTTCCATTTTCTCAGAAATTGTTTTAAATGGATTTATGTTTTCGAATGCCATGTCAATTACATTACATTTTAATATCTGCATTAGTATAGATATGCATATTATTGCATGATGCTGTGGGCGCCTAGGTAAGCTTCAGGTGAGTACATATTGATGATAGTGATTGCAGAGTGTATGGTTGTGTTTAAATGCATTTAGTGCTTATTATCCTGCACCCCGGTGTTAGTGCTCCCGTCCGTGGCCAGGGCACAGTCATTCACATGATGTTCACTTCTCGCACCGTACGCTCACCTTGGATTCAAGTTTGGTGCATAGCCCTGTCGTACAGACCACAATAGGTGGTTCCGACTCGTAGGTGACCCACGATTTATCGCACAGCATTCACATGATCATAACACTTGAGCGTACTTATTTACACCCAGCCCTATCGTATAGACCACAATAGGTGGTTC